CTTCTTGCATCCATATACCTTTCTTCCCGCGAGGTAGACTCGATGTCGCTGGGTCATAGTGGATAGTGCTGGCCAGTAGTGGCGAAGACGGCTAACGATGAATCCGATGAGGATTTCTATGAAGCGTAGTGATGGATTTGCTATTAGGGTAGCGTGTACTGCTGAAATGGGGCTGCCGTCAATGCCAGGAGGAATCGAGTAGCTGTGATGCGTGACCGAACCCCGTCGGGTTCAAAGGTTGATGGGCTGAAGGATGCCGATGAAGGCACGAGCGTATGTCTTGACGTGCAGCGTTGGGGCCGACGTTGTACTCTTGTTCAGATCGAGCAGAGAGATAACTGAGATGTCGACTGATCTCACATGCCCTTGGTGGTGGCGAGATAGGTCATAGGGTCATTCGACGGTGCCGTCGGTGCCGCTAAGCCGCCCCTGAAGTATATCTGAAACACAGGCGATAGCGGACAGTCAGGAAGGTGCTGCTTGCGTAATAGCAGTTTGAGTCCGCCTGTCCCGGCGCCCGTGTGATTGTTTACTTTTTGGGTTGGACAAAATTAGGGTCGAGGGATGACAAGGAGCTAGTTGGGCCTTGACAAGACCTGCTCGGCACTCTTCTGATATTGACTACTCACCTCGTTCAAATAAAATTGATCAAGTTCAGGAGTAACCACTGGACAATGTCAACCACAAAACATGTCAAGTTTGCGGAGGATGTCAGCCCTCCTCAGTCTACGATGACTTCCAGGCCGCAAGCAATCGCAGTACATCCGGACCGTTTAGCAGTAGTACAGGCAGCCTCTGGAAAAGCAAAGGTCTCGAAGAAATCAAAGGTAACGAGAGCAGTATCGTAACGACTCGGAAGACTCGCTAACATGGCGATTTGCGCTTTAGACGAAAACCGACGCCCAGAGACGGTATTTGAAAAAGAAGCTGGACAAGCGGAAAAAGGTGTTGAAAGCGAAGAAGGCCTCCGAACCGAAATCAAAGGATGGAGAAACGCCTGAGCCTTCTCGCGATGAAGAAGCCATGGAGAGGACAGTCACGATCGCAAAGCCATCTTCAGATAATCATACGACTACACCAAGTACCGGCAAAGTAGATGGCAACACCGCAGTAGAAGGAGATGAGGAATCAGAGGAAAGCTTAGAGGTCAGGAGAGCGAAGCGAAAGGCCGAAAAGAAGCAGAAAAGGGAGGAGAGAAGGGCTCTCGAAAAGGAATTAGCAGAACAAAGAGCTGCTATGCCAATAGCGGTCTCCACCGTTTCTCACGGATCCAGCAATAGTGAGTAGGCTCTTCAAACCCCCCGCTACGGGGCCAGCAAGGAGTGACAGAGTTGACGATAATTTAAAAGTCGAACAGAAGAGATCTGGAGAGGACATGCCTGAAACAGAATCGTCCGCCAAACGCCAACGCCAAGCTGACGTCGTCAGTGACCAATCTGACAATGAATCCGAAGTAGACCGCGCTGGAACACCTCTTTCATCCCACGTTCGTACTCCTTCGCCTGAGACGGAGAACCGACGTATAGACCAGGACCTCGAGTTGGAGATGGAAATGGCAAAGAATCTAGCCGGAATTCCAACCTTCCCTCTGCCAAAGGGTCCAGCAAAGGCGTCGGCGGGGCTGTTGTCGATGCAAGGTCTGCCGCCTGCTTTGCGTGATGCAGAACGTGTAGCACAGGAGTTACGGATTCCTGTCAAGGATATCCAGATTAGACGTCACAGGAGAAGGAATATTGACAAGGAAGGTGATGAATCGGCAAATGAAAATGGTTTGAGTTCCAGTATGAGGAAACAACTGGAGGGTTCAGGGATAGAAGAGTTTTTTGCTGGTGAGCTTGGTGTGGTCTTAGGATCCAATTTGCTGTATTAACTTCAAGTATTCTAGTTCAAACGGCCCTTGTTCCCGAGCTCGCTGGTTTACCTCTTGTGACTCACGCGGACGAGTTTCTGCATGATTACCTGGTCTCCGCGCCGACTGGGTCAGGTAAAACATTATCATATGTCGTGCCATTGATTGAAGTGAGTGCAAGAATGGTCTCCATCATATCAAGATTGCTAAAAATCGCTTTATATTCTAGGTGCTTTCGAAACGTATAGTCACGCGGCTGAGGGCTTTGATCATTCTCCCTACAAGAGATTTGGTAATGCAAGTCCGTGAAACTCTAGAATCGTTGAGCCGCGGAACAGGTCTACGAGTAGGTAAACCGAAATATTCTAGACTGTCTACATCGCGCTGAATTATGGCTTGATTAGATCGGTACAGCTACAGGGCAACACTCCTTTGCGCAGGAGCAGGCTACCTTGGTCGCCGATCTGGAGTCTACGTGAGTCTAGCCGGTTTGCCTGACCATGTATGGTTACGCTTATGGAAGACCGTGGGATTACAGCCTTCTCGGAGGGTCATCGAAAGTCGATATCCTGATAGCGACTCCAGGACGATTGATGGATCATCTGCACGGTACTCGAAATTTCAGTCTGCAGCATCTTCGTTTCCTCGTAAGTCGGCAAAAGACGGGCAGTCACCTCGCCCTTGTCGCTAAACATGCTGTGGACTTTCACAGATCATCGACGAAGCGGACCGGCTTCTCAATCAATCCTTTCAGGATTGGTTGGCGCAGATTTTGACGCATCTCTCCCCTGAAAGTCCGGCACCAGCAGCATCGTGGGGGACAGTGGGGCACGACGCTGTTGCGGCCTCATGGTATGAAGGCCTCGGTCTTCAGGGAAAGCTATGGGAAGGCTCGCGCCCATTGTCCAGCCAGGTGAGTGTCTATGTGCGTTCGGCCTGCGAATTTGACTGATGGATGAATTCTTTCCTTACAGTGTCAGAAACTCCTGTTCTCAGCGACTCTTACACGGGACCCGAGCAAAATTGCAGCTTTACAACTGAGAAATCCTCGCTACTTCATCGTGGGAGATGCTGCACCCGAGCTTGTGGAAGGGTCCCAGACTGTTCCGGCAGATATCACCGGCGATTCGTTTGCCTTGCCATCTACTTTGACCGTGAGTCGAGCAGCCATCGTGCCATATGTTACATGTGACTAACTTGGCGTTTATCGGGCTTAGGAACGAATGATTATCCTGCCGTCCGAATTTAAACCTTTGAACCTGTTATATCTCTTGCACGACGCACGTTTTGGCATCAAATCCGCTCTCTGCTTTACGAAATCGGTCGATTCAGCCGAGCGACTGCTCAAACTGATTCATTTCTTCGAAGATGCACACACTGGGAGCACAAGGAAGCTAGTGGTGAAAGAATACTCTGGTGAATTGCCAACGGCTGAGCGCACCAAGCTACTTGCTGAGTTTAAGAAGGGAGAAGTCGATCTGTAAGTGAATGCAACTGCACTCGAGTTCTGTTCCAGCTAATCCTGCATTAACAAATGATCTCGCAGACTTATCTGTTCCGACTTGATCGCCCGTGGTATCGATCTACCGACAGTGACGCATGTCATATCGTATGATGCACCTGTAGACATGCGCAAGTACGTACACCGAGTCGGACGAACTGCCCGAGCTGGTCGGGAAGGAACGGCATGGACACTGGTAGAGAAGCAGGAGGTATGCCCCAAATCGCGCTTGATCACACCGGATCCAGTGTTGACCACTTTTTGAGTGTTTAGGCACGGTATTTCAAGCAGATGCTGTCAACGGCTAATCACCTATCCAAGGTCAAGAAGGTCAAGATCAAGGAGGATCAGCTGGCCGATCTACGTAAAAGTTACAGTGTAAGCAGGACGTGATAGCGTCTGAAATTTGAGCCATATGCTTATCCCTCTCAATGTGAATAGATTGCTCTGTCACGGCTGAAATCAGCATATGCCAAGGCTTGAAAGTTTAGTTGTGAACAAAAGATGACATGACCATGCTTCGCCTGTCCATTATGGATATGCTATGATATTGCAGGGGTCCGACGCGGGCCCGACATTGCCTCTCCTATTGCCTCTCGTAGGAGGAGCCTCGAGTGGTTCCCTTGAATTCACGTTGCACAGCTTGCGACGCTTCGCGTAACCTAATCAGGCTCCGGAAGGTAGAATTTTCGCGATCAAATTGTACATCTCCTGGTCCCTCGTGCCATGTCTGGAACCGGGTGGCTCATTATAGAGTTATCCTCGAGTTATCCTCCTTGTTCCATCTCCATGGGAAGGGGTGGGGGGAAGTCAATTCCTTATATCGTGATTGTCGCTTGGCCTAATGACGATCATAGTATCGCCGAGGGCAATCGACATCTGCCTCTCTTCATGAATCCCCGTGTCTTGCCGCCGCCCCATGCATGTAGCGCTAGCCGTCATCTCGGACTGTCCCTTACAGGCGATATGTATGCCTCGAAAACTTCAAGTCTATCATCGTAGAACAAATATACATGACAGCTAATGCTGATCTGGGCTGCAACCTTCCCTGAGCCATGTCTTCAACTTTGGGCCTGGGTATACGCCAGGAACTATGAGGGACGGGCCAGGCGTATATACAGAAGACGAATGCTTGCAAGAGGAACACGTCGTTGGTGAAAGCATGGGTAAGGCGAGATAAGAATCGTTCACAGAAGGACGACGCCAGTAGACGGTCGCTCTTTGATATTTGTCCGCTCGTTGTGGAGCTTGAGAATGAAAACGCAGCCTATTGATTTTTCTTCCCCCCACAGCGGTTGCTCGTTGTTTTTCTGCGCGTACTGTGTCAGGCTAGCTATCTGTCATGAATGACAACACGGGCGTAGTGAGAACGAGAAAGAATCAAGTTAGTCGCACCAAATGGAAAAGGCGTGCACAGCAGGGTATAGAAAGAACCTGTAATGAATCATCATCGCATCGTTGTACATTGGCCTTCTCCAGGCCACTATAGTTGTTCGCTTATCTATAATCGCATGGATAGTACCGGCGTCCACGCCGAGTCCATGGTGGAAATCGGTACTTAATACTATCAGAGCACGCGGAGGAACGATTGGACAGCTAAGGACTATCGTGATTGACGATTTTGTAAGCTGTGGAAAGCGATATCGATCACCTCTCATAGCTCAGTTGGAAGAGCGAAGCATTGTAATCGCCTGAGCCTGTGTGAACAAGCCACTTTCAAGCCTGCTTAGGTCGCCCGTTCGATCCGGGCTGAGAGGAAATCTCCTTTTTGCTGTTCTTTTTGCTGTTGTCCACTCATCGGACCCTTGGAAACCCATTCCGGAGGTCGAGGTGGATGTGGGGACAAAAACGTGTTCTCCAGGCGCAAACACATTTTTGGTCGCTCTTCCTGCTCACAATCTATTAAGATTCAAAATCATGTAACCTCGATAGGCATGTCTCGTTGGAACAGCGGCATTCCAAGGGATCCTCGGTCGTTTTTCGCGGTTGTTCTCTTTCCGAACATAGCACGCAAACAAGATGAAGACCACCTCTTACGAGCATTTTCTTCAACCTTGTCAGTATGTGCTTGATAGCGATTGATTGGTCTCATAAATAGACCTCGGCACTATGTGGAGACGTCTTCTGCGAGTGTGCTTCGGACAAATATGACCTGGCGAGGTCATTGTACTCAGGCGGCCCGCAAATGTTTGTCCAAGGACCGTATTTTGACCTCGAGGTGCGATTTGGCGTGGCAGTCGAAGTCTGGTGTGCCCGTTCCCACACGCCCTCATGCTGCTTCCCAGTCCTTCTTAGACTCACTCATCACTCCTCGAAAGAGGAAACTGAGTGGAAATGATGGCGATAGCAAGTCAGTCGCGCAATGGCACTGCCAATTTATGGCCGTCGACAAAATGGGCGATGCGTGTTATTTTTGTGCCTTTTAGCTTTCCTGTTCTGTCGCTTCGCTGTCAGACGCGGCCACGTTTCGTCAAATGTTGTAATGTGATGGGGCCGGGATGGTGAACTCAGTATTAGAGGGAAGAGAATAGGAGTTGCGGTGGTTATTGCAGATAGCTCAGGAGGCAACCACAATCCAGTCTACCTTGCCACCCTCCCATCTTAAAAGCGCTGGCCGTTTACAACCCAAACACACCACCTTTTTCTAGCATGAAACCAGGCTCAAAGCGACAATCTCACACTACCTAATTTGCCAAACTGCCCAGTACAACGATCAAGCGTGACGGAGGTGTTGCCGACAAGCACGATGAACGGAATGTTGCCGAACAAGAGCAATGGGACAGGTCCACAGAGTAGACATCCGCAATCCCAGAACACGAATGGTCACTATCTAAATGCAACCGAGAGTCTCGAGTCTTCCAGACGGCGCAAATCGATACCGGGACATGACGAGATGGATGGAGTAGCACTGGGAGGTACACTTCCATCATATGGGTCCAAGTACCCGGCCCAGTCGTCTGGAGTCTTCACGACCTTGGATGATCGTTCCTGGATTCGTAGGCTTGCTCCACCGCCAGCGACGGTTAAATTCATCTTCTTGTGCATACTGTGGTACGGCACCTCAGCGCTCTCATCAAATACGGGCAAAGTCATCCTCAACAACTTTCGATATCCGGTCACCCTAACGATAGTTCAGTTCTTCTTCGTCGCTGGATACTGTTGGCTGTTGACGGACGGGTCGAAATTGCTAGGCATCGCAACCGCATGGAAATGGATGGCATCCCGGTTAATGGGCATTTTTGGGTCATCCTCGAGCGGGCGAAGGTCCTCGAAATTATCCTCGCATTCAAGATCAATATCACTCGGCATCGATAGTTCGGGAATCTCAGGCTCGAGATTGAAAAGGCCTACCAGAGCAATCCTGCTGCATACCTGCCCGATGGCAGCGTTCCAGGTCATTGGACATATATTCTCGAGCATGGCTATCAGTAGAATACCAGTCAGTACTGTACATACTATCAAGGTAAGTCTCGCCAGATGCTCGCGGCTGTGACTTGTCATTCATCTTCTTCTCCCGCAGGCCCTCACACCGCTGTTTACGGTCATGACTTATGCGTTGGTCTTCCGCGTGTCATACACACTTGCGACCTACATCTCTCTCCTTCCGCTTACACTCGGAGTCATGCTTGCATCTTCCGCCGAATTGACGATATCAAACGCACTCGGCCTGTTCTGCGCGTTTGGAAGCACCATCGTCTTTGTCTCGCAAAACATTTTCTTCAAAAAGATTATGCCCTCAAAAGGGGAAGGAGAATCTGCTGCCGTTGCTCGTCTGACAACGGCTCACTCCAACGATCAATCTGGGTTGTCAACTGCCAAGGCACTTTCCCGTCCAAAGCTCGATAAAATCAACTTGTTATTCTTTTCCTCGGGAATGGCATTTCTGTTCATGATCCCTCTGTGGATATACTCGGACCTTCCAGCCATATGGACGTTGTGGTTCCATCCGGAAAATGCAGTCAATACCGCCAAACCCTTGAAACCCGGACAAGTCGCACCCTCCGTACCTTATTATTTCTTCCTGAACGGAACCGTCCACTTTGCGCAAAATCTACTCGCGTTCGCCATTCTCTCCTCGACATCGCCCGTCACATATTCGATCGCTTCCCTAATTAAGCGTATCGCCGTCATCTGTCTCGCCATTGTCTGGTTCAATCAGACTATACATCACGTGCAGGCTCTCGGCATCGGACTCACAGGGATAGGGTTGTTCATGTACAACCGGGCCAAGCGGGATGTTGACAAGGGAGAAAAGCAGATGCGGAAACTGGAAGCCCTCAAGGATGGCATGTTGCCATTCAACAAGGCCGATCAACGCTTGCTCGAGGATCGAAGCGACACCTCGACGCCCGACTTTTTCAACGAAAAAGGTGTTCATTCGTCCCCAAGGCCGGAGTATGTCGACATCAACGGTAATGGCCCACTCTCCAGCACATCAGCTATCGAATCCCATTTTAAATTGCCGCCGCCGTATCATCCAGTTCAGGCAGGTAACACGAATAAGCATTTGACAGGCGACACAAAATCTCGAGCACCCGCGCCCCTGTATGTAGGCCCGTATCCAACAACGTCTCAGGCACTTCCGTCTCCACCCCCTTCGCAGACGTCATCTCCGCCTTTCTCATCGATACCTACACCACATCAAGAATCGGGAGCGTCCGGGCACATATCCAGAAGACGACCATCGATAGATACCTCTACACGCCGGCCAACTGTGTCAAATTCTCGGCCGGTGCCTCCTCTCTCTTCGACGATACCAGAAAGTGCAGAAGAAACTCTGCCTAATGGACATTCAAATATCGGCAAGGGGTTTAGGGAGATTACAGCATGATCATTGTCCGAAAGGAGATGAACAGAGAGCCAAAGCGAAATCAATCAGTCGTCAGGCCATGAAGGGTTTCCATCATTGTGTATCATCCTCATGTATTTTTAACTGTTCCGACGGACTTTTTCCCATTCTATAGACTTTGACCAAAAATACAATAATATCGTTTGAGTTCACGTCAAGGTAGTGTACACGCTTTGGGCAGTAATGCTCTTTGACCAGCAAGGTATCTGCGAGATCTTGAATTTGACCGGTAATGTACTGTATGCTCGTTCTAAGCTTCATCCTCGTAACTCAGTCATCGAAGAGAGCATGATACTGAAAATTCGCAATGGCATCGGGTCAGCGCTAAGAGCTCAAACGCCCGGAAAAGCCCTACTTACTGATCTCCGGTTGCCACTTTCCTTTCTAGATTCATCATCCATAGCCGGCTGCGTAGGCCCTAGATAACTTTCCTCGCCTCCCTCCATAGTGATATCAGGATCATCATCCATCATCTGCCTCAGCGCCTCTGGATCCAACGCATCGACTTCGGCCTGGCTTTGCTGCATCAGAGCCTGTCGTTCTGCGGTTTTGTCTGCATCATCATCGTCTTCTTGCGTCGAGAAGAACAAGGGCTGCTTGTTCTTGATTGAGCGTGAAGCTTCATCGTCAGTCGGAAGGCCTCCTTCAGCTAGATGTAATGTGCCGTTTGGCTGAAAGTCGGGATCTAAATCGAATTCTTGCTCCAAATTCATATGCTGACTGTCATGGTGTGATGGTCCGACATGTTCTGCCTCCTGATCTACTTCCGGGTTTACTGATACGTCTAGCTGATCGGTCTGTTGCTTCCGTGGGGGATCATCCTGGGGTTGCCCTTCGACAAGCGATAACGATGTACGTTTCCTCTTGCTGCCCGTGGTTCTGTGTCTTTCTCCATTGGTCTGGTTGGTATCATGACTTGTCGATCTGATTGTCGCTTGCTGTTTCTTTTGGTTAGCACTACCGGGCTTGATTTCGGCTTTCACCTTTCCTTGTTGTTTCCCGTTCAAAGCATCCACAGGGAAGGCATCGCTCTCGATCGTTGCCATTATGAATTCGCCGCGAACGCCTTCTACATCGATATTGACAATCAAAGGATCCAAGGCTTTACCAAATTTGACATCAATCGGTATACCCCATTGTTCAGCTAGGTGGAAAGAAGCCTGGGAGGTGTACATCGTGGATAACACATGTCAGGCCAACAAGATAACAGGTAACGCAGAAGACATCACTTACCCTGAATTCCCGCAACGGAAATGCCAACTGCACAGGTCCTTCCTCGACATGATACTCATCAAATTCGTCAGGCGCAATTTTAATCTCTGTCGACAGATACTGTCGCATCGCCGGTGGCCGATTTGCTTCTAGCGTCTTCACCTTGATCTCATTCTGAGCAAAGTACCACCCGAGCTCGTTCTCGTACTTGATCGAAGAACCTCCAGACGAACCGCCGCCGGATGATGTAGTGATGGTTGCAGTACCACTCGAGACAGCAAAATGCTCGATCCAGTCTTTCAGAGTTCGCGCTGGAACGGTAAAATTGTTCGGACTCGCATTCGGGTCTACTTCAGCTATGAGGCATTCGCATGGCGAGAGATTAAGGGAATGCTTTTTAAGAACACCTGAGAGGCTGCCGATGTAAGTACGATTGACACCGGGAAGGCTATAACGAGACTCACCATGCTTGCAATGTAGAACTAGAATCAACTTTGCTTGTAACGAAGATCGGCCTTCATCGAGCTCATCCTCTTCATCCTCTTCGCTATTCGCTCTGTCCCTGCCAACACCCTTGCGTTTCGACTGAGCCTTCTTGCGTGTGGAAGCTACGCCGTTCGCATCGACGATCTGAAATTGTAAGGTTTCGACATTCTGTGATTGTGTACCTCTCCCTAGAACCGAGAGAACAGACTGA